TTAGAGGGTGACATCAATAATATTGTTAATCCTTTTGTAAGGAAAGATCTTGGTGAAGAAAGAGACAGTGGAGGTCCTGGAAGGAAGACCACAGCAGAACACAGCTTCAAATCAGACAGGCAGTGTGGAGGACAGAGGACCAGTCAGGGGGGCTGGGTTCTAAGCTCAGCTCTGCAACACCTTGGCCAGGATCCGTGTGACTCCCCAGCCTCCATTTTCTGGATTTCTGAATCCTCTGATGAGCCAATAGTAGAGTGAGACTTGGAGGTGGTGTGGAAATTCAAACACGCTGGTCTAACCCTGAGATGCAATGACCCATCCATTATCCCGGTCAGAGCCTCCAACCCCAGCCCACCCGACTCTGCTGCCTTGATTCTTTGATTCTTCGATGCTAAATGGAAAGAAGGCTTCTGGAATTAGGACTGAGCCTGTGGCACCCCTTCCAGCATTGTGTCTGGACAGCTTTCCCTCCCCCACTCCTTGTCCCCAACACTAAACCAGTTTCTCCAAACCTCTTCCCATAGCTCTCGTTCCTTTGCTGCCGATCCTTTGTCGTCCAGAACCTATGTTTCCCCAACATAGTTCTGGTCACGCCACATTGTACTAGCCTCGTGGTATTTTAAGTCCCACCTTTGTAAAATAAAGGATTGAGCTGGAAGCCGTTAAAGTTTCCTTCCAGGCCAACCGTTCTCTGATTCTGTACATTAAGTTGTATATATTCATATTGCATGTCTATTTCAGAGAAGAATTCTATTTAACTTTTAAGGTACTGACTTATCAGATCAACAATAGTCTTGACTCAGGACATAATTAGACAATCAGACAAATATTATGACATGAGCTCAAATTTGAGTGTGTCTCTTCTTTAAATAAATTGTCCAGAATGAAATTATCTACTATTTGTTTAGATGTTTACGGTTTGCAAATACTCTCAAGTGCGCTTTCTCCTGTACTTCTTACACTAACCCTAAAAGATAGATGTCAACCCCTCACCAATTTCTTACAAACATCAGTGTACCCACGTAAGAATAACTATCTCAGGAAGAATGAAGGGGGGGAAATCGGAGGGGGAGACGAACCATGAGAGATGATGGACTCTGAAAAACAAACTGAGGGTTCTAGAGGGGGATGGGTTAGCCTGGTGATGGGTATTAAAGAGGGCACGTTCTTTATGGAGCACTGGGTGTTATATACAAACAATGAATCATGGAACACTACATCAAAAACTAATGATGTAATGTATGGTGATTAACATAACAATAAAAATTTAAAAAACAAAGAATAACTATCTCAGAGTCGTACTAAGGGTTAAAGGAGGTGATACTTACAGTACCTAGAACAGTGCCTTGTACACAGTCAGTGCTTAACCAATGAAGATGGTGGTCACGGTATGGCAGTGGTGTGAGGGGTGTTTTCGTTATGTCATATGATAGAGATATGGGACGCTCCCCCAACCCTCATCCCTAGAATCACTATCTTCAAAAAAAAAAAAGATACCTAAACAGAGATCCTGTCACGTGTTTTACCTATCTTTTCCCATATTAGTCAGAAAGGAAACTTCTGAACAGTGGTATGCCAACTGTTGAGTTCTGGAGCTAGCTATAGCCTCTGAGCTTGACAAAAGAATCTAGCATCACCTTTCCTGAAAACCAAAGTGTCTTAGTCTGTTTCGGCTGCTATAACAAAATACCTTAAACTGGGTAGCTCATACATACCAGAATTTTATTTCTCACAGTTCTGGAAGCTGTGAAATCTTAAATCAAGTCCCAGGCAGATTTAGTGTTTGGTGAAGGCCTGCTTCCTGATTCATAGATGGCTGTCTTCCTACTGTGTACTGACAGGGTGGAGGTGAGGGGAGCTCTCTGGGCTCCATTTCTTAGGACACTAACCCATTCATGAGAGTGTAATCACCTTCCAACGGCCACATCTACAAATACTACCCTTGGGGGTTAGAATTTCAACATATGAATTTTAGGGGGACACAAACAACATTTAGTCAATAGCACAAGGCAATTTTAACTACCTTGTGACACTATTAGAATAATAACTAAAAGATTTTTTAAAATAACTTACAATAATAAAACAAATAAAGGGGCATCTGGGTGGTATAGTCAGTTAAGCACCCAACTCTTGTTTTCTACTCAGGTCCTGATCTCAAGGTCATGAGGTCAAGCGCCACAATAAGCTCCACGATCAGCACAGAGTCTGCTTGGGAGTCTCTCTCCTTCTCCCTCTGCCCCTCCCACTCATGTTTTTTTTCTCTCTCTCATAAATAAATAAATCTTTAAAAAATAATAATAATTTACAAAAACACCAAACTAATACTTGTACAACTATGGGTAAATACTTTTAATATCCTAACTTGTGACCCCATCTAAAAGATTAGGCTGGCATTTCATTAGATTGGTCTCATCTTTTCTACTTATCAGGTTTCAGTTATGGAGGGTGATGTATAAATTTTATCCCAGGAGAAGAATTTAAGAGATAATCATAATCTCTTGATAATCAAAGCTTCCTAAAACCCTTTCATTAAAACAACATTGAGAAAAGAATTATATACCATTATAAAAAAATAAAAAATTCGTAAAAGTAATTCTTTGTAGCCTAAAGATTTGCACAACTCCACCAGGGATTAACATTTGTCACCATAAATACTTACGTAAAACACATGTTTTACGTTTCTAGACACATCTCAGCTAACTTATGAATCTATGAAGCAACCAGATAATCAGCTCATATGAAGCAAATGGGGATGATTTCTTCCTTTCAGTGCCTTTAGGTAAATTAGATCTGCTTCTTATTTATGAAGACAAAGCAATTTGGCATCTCTGTGAGGTTTTCTGTTTGTTTTCAAATAGACTTTGAAAACATTTTAAAAACTGAAATATTGGTTGAATTTTCAATTCAGTTGCCAAAGCACTTTAATTGAGTTATTCAGTTATTCATCAAATAGTTACTAAATGCCTTCTATGGGCCAGGTAAAGATGATGGTTCTGTAAATATCAGGATAAACAAAATGTAGTATCTATTCTCAAGAAGATTGCCTTCTGGTGGGAAAGAGTATTGTCTAAACAGTGATACACCAAAGCCATGATTACCATGATAGAGATTCAATGAAAGGAGAAAAGATGGTGATAGAATCCCACTGGGTTTGGTGAGACCTAGGAGGAAGAATGAGAGAAGAACTTCTGAAGGAATTCATGCCCAAGGCATGCCAGATAGAGGGGACCACGCTGCAAACTCATGGAGGTGAGAAACAACAATACTACGAGGAAAATATACAAGTAGTCTGATTTTGTTGGAACGTAAAACACAAAGAAAGAGGGACTGAAAACCCAACAGGAGAAGTAGAAAGACGACAAGTCACGGATTTGTTAAGTTAGTCCATGTTAAGTAACTCAGACATTTTCCTGAAAGCAATAGGGAGAAACAAAATATTTTGAATAAGGGAATGACGTGCTCTGATTTGTTTTTCAGACAGTTCATTTTAACAAATTTTTATTTAGCACCTGTGGGGTAGTATGCTAGGTTCTCAGAGTATAAACATGAATAAGAGGGATCGTTTTACCCTGGAAGAACTAAAAGTCTAGTGGAAAACACAGACAAGGAAAGAGTTAACTTCAAAATTTTTGGTAAGTGTTATGATAGTGACCTGGATATTTGAAAAAAGAACCCTCAGATATAGTTGGCAAACCTAAATAGCTCCAAAAATAGCTGGGAAAGTGATTCTCTTCCCTGAGTTCTACATACTATGAAGTTTGAGCCTTTGTAACACAAATATGTTGTCAATTTCCATTCCTTCCAACAAAATGCCTTTGCACGGCTGTCAGCTCCTATTCTTGGTGGTGGTGGTGGTTGGGGGTGCTTAGAGGTCATCTAGCTCCACATCGCCTTAATAATAGCCTTTCCCAACTGGGGAACCCCCCCCTCATTCCAAAGTAGCTTGTTCCACTGTTGGAAGCAGATGTGTAAGAAAGTGGATTCCCACACAGCACTTCGGAATGACCTCTTCTAGTGCTGTCTTTTGAGTTTCTTGTCTGAGGCAGTGTGTGTAATGGGGAAGACCCAAGACCATGGAATCACAGTAGCTCTGCCATTTATGAGCCGTGTGGTCTTCATTAAGCTACTTAAACTTTCTGATTCAAGTCCCTCATCTCCAAAATGGTTTAACATGGGACGTAAATGATGAGAGAAATATTATAGGTAAAGCAATAAGCAAGTGCCTTGTATAAAGAAGTTCAATAATTAATAGTTATTACTATTATTATTAAAGTATAATTCTGTTTATGCCCTCTGTCCTCACTTCATTTAAAAAAAAAAAAGGCAAAACTTACTTCCATGAACTCTAAGTGTTGGTCTCAGTATTGTACTCATTACCTGGGTTCGTCACACATAATACTATAACAGAATACTATCTCTCTTAAGCAGAAAAAATATGTAGACAATTTCTGACAACTATTCCTAATATTCATTTATTGTAACTGCTGATCTGGGTAACTTAGTATCCAAAGAGCATCGATCCTTTCCGAGTTGACCTGAGAGACAGGTATTTCTCTCTGCATTTTTTTGAAGGGCAATGCATTTAAAACTTAAGAGTTTTTTAATCCATAGTAAACACTTTAGGTGACCTTGCACATTTAACATTTTGCAATTGCTTATTCTATTGCTCCAAATCACAAGATAAATAAACACCTTCTGATTCAAGATGTGGATATAGAAGGATCCTCTTCCCACTGACAAATCTACAACTACAGAAGGGATAATTTCTTCTGAAAAGAAAGCCCTAAAACTAGCGGGGAGGGAACTCAAAATCCTAACCTTTTTCCTGAGGAACGAAGGTTTTGAACCTCACATCTGGCATCTCAACTTTAAGAGCTCTCCCTGAGAGATGAGCCCCCAAAACATCTAGTTTGGAAAGTTAATGGGACTTGCCCGCCCCCCGCCCGCCCCGCCCACAAGACTACAGAGAGCTAAGAAACAGTTCTTTTTTTTTTTTTCACTTTTTTCCACTTATTTATTACATTTGGACCTTTAAGAAACATATACCATCAGATATACCACTATTTAATAAAAATCTATTCTAGTTTTTGGGAAGCACACGTGTCACAAACTATCTTGCTTCTAGTCTCCAAGACTTTACTAAGAGTTTATCAAAAAGGTAGGCTCTGACCTATGGGATCCTGAGCCTTGAGGTTTTGAGTTTTGATTATTGAAGAAAATTTCACATGGACGAAACGAATTCCCAGCTGTTTTCCTCCCGGAATGGGCTCATCGTTTTGAAGTTGTCTAGTCCACTGCAAGAATATTCAATTCCTTAAGCTTTGTGACCTATTCTGTCTTTGGAAAACTTGGTAAAAAAGTAACTTTCTTTTTCTGTACAGTAAGGATGAATTTATCAGAACACACCCAATATGAATTACAACAAAAAGCAGTATACATAATGTGTATGTGCCATGTTCATTTTAATGCCTACTTCATAAGCTGGTAACTACTTGAACAATGGAGACTATTTCTGGATCAATACGATCCAAGCTTAGTTGTAGTCAATCCTTAACACAACTCTTGGTATCCGACACTGATTAAAAATAAAAAAGGGTAAATGAACAAATACATACTCACACATGATTACGTTTTCAAGAAACTACTCTTTGTGGAAGTATACAGGAAAGGGGACTTTCGGGAAGCTGTTGATAGGGACTGGGAGGTTTAAAGCTATGGCTTTGGTAAGCACCCCAGTGAGCTGTAGGAAGGCATTTGTAAGAGTAAATTGTGCAGCATCAAAGGATAACTCTCTAAAAGAGGTGGGCGTTTTCTCGATTAATTTAAATTCTGAGGCTTTCAGGAGTTGAGGGCTAGGAATAAGATCCAAAGAAAAGAACATCTTCACAAAGGCTTAAGAAAGGGGACGGTGCCATTTGGCTTGTGATGCTAAATGGTCCAAAAGCCTTTGGTGGTGCGATATGGACAAGAAAGATATTAATACACAAACCACATAACACCATTAAAACTCAAAAAACATTTTTTTTCATTTAAAAAAGTATTTAGAACACATAAGACAAGGCAACATTTATTCTTTCTTCTCGTCTTCCGGTGTGGGGTCTGTGGGTGGCTCCTCCACTGCGGCACTGTTGCTCTCGGAGCCGGTGTTACTGTCACTGGTCCCCTCCTCAGCCATACTGTCCACCCCCTCCTGCCTGCTCTCCTTGTCCTCAGGAGTAGACGTGCCTTCTTCACCATTCTGTTGGCTTTCCGTCGCTTCTTCAAGGTGTGTCTCCTCTGTCTCCATCGGGAGGCTCTCGTCCTTCTTCTCCTCGCTCTTACCAGCAGCTTGCTCTTCCTCAAGAACCATGCTGCTCTGACTGCGTTCGGCTTGCTCTGCGGCTTCTTTCTCTCTTTCCTCCTGCCTTTTTCGAGCCTGTTCCTCTGCCTGTGCAATTTCAGCGGCAATTTTTTCCATATCCACTTCTACTTTCAAACCGCACAACCTTTTAAGTTCATTGTTAAATGAATCTGTGCTTTCCAGGAATTTCCTCTTCTTTTCCTGGTGTCGCTCCTCTATTTGAAGAAGTTCAGCTTCTAGTTTTCGCTGATGAACCATTAAGGACTGGACCTGTTGTTTGAGGACCTGCATTCTAGCTGTTGTGACAACTGAACGGACGTCTGGCACCACACTCTCACTAAGGATTTCACTGATGAGGCGGTGGTTTCTCTGGAAACGGGCAGTGGCTGTATGCTTCATTGAAAAGCCATCATCATAATCGTCTGGATCTTCAGCAGGCTGAATGCTCATGTACGGTTCTCCTTTCTCCATGCGAGACTGTCTCTGTCGACTTTCTTCCTCTAAAGCAGCTTCTGCACGACTTTTTGCATTTATGTAAGCAAGGTATGCGGGGGAATTATGATAGGCCTTCATAGATTCATTGTACTCTATCTTTTCTGCTTCGTATTCATTTAAATATTCTTGTTTTTCTTCATCAGTGAGATCTCGCCACATGCCACCAATAATCTTGCCAATCTCCCACAACTTTAGGTCAGGGTTGGAAGCTTTTACTTGGTCCCAGACCTTTCTGCTGTACCTCATGTAGGGCATCAGCGGCTTATCTGGTGGCTTTGGGGGTTTTGGAATCGTAATACCAGAGGATGCCGTGACCCGGCTGTTGGTGCCCGGGTTCCCTCCCAGCCTGTAGTTGTTGTAGGCGAGATGACTGTATGGATTGTATCCCACAAACCCTGGTGTGCTGGGCATTTGTGTTGCAGGAGCTGGGGTGGGAGGTGGGGCATAAGATGGTGTTTTTGACATTTTGGAAGATTAAGTTCTCAGTTCCTTAAGAATGAATCTGAGACACCGCGGGCAGAAAAAGCCCTAAGAAACAGTTCTTAAATAGCTTACACAGAGCCTCACCCATGCCAGGGCCCAGGGCAGAGGAAGCTGAATGAAAAGTGCCCAGACTTTTTGTGAAAGAGACTTATTTGCTTATTTTAAAGCATCAGCCTGAGGGGCAGGCATCCAATTTAACCCACAGCTAGGGATCTAGTGAAATACTCTTCAAAGACAGAGGTTGACAGGCACGATCTTAGCACTCTCCCTCTGCCTCATTCCAGCACCATTATCTCCCAGAAAGGAGCTTCTGTATTTATCTGGCGCCCTGGTTTTTACAGCCGCTGCCCAGGACAAACCTCTAGATGGCCTGGCTCTGGTATCCAGTGTGGCTTATGCTGGTGGGTCCCCCAGGACTGAAACAAAGAGAGAAAGAGTTCTTACCCAGCTCCAATTCATGCACAGAGCACAGGAGAGAGGCAACAGGCTGAGGCAACCAGTCTTGCTATTCAAGAAGCCTCTTAGCTTGTCTTTGTAGCTGTGGCCTGAGGGCAGGCTTCCAATTAAACACACACAGAAGGATTGACACTAATCCTCTTCAGAGACTTCAGAATGTGAGTGGTATCATTGTGATCTCTCTCTGTTGTGCTCCAGAGCACTGGCATATGCCAGAAGGGAGCTTGTGCACACATCTGAAGCCTCAGTTTTTATGTCTGGCACCCCAGCTTTTGTGTCTGCTACACAGAGAACACATCCTTTGATAGTCTGTGATGGCCAGTGTGACTTGTGTCCATAGTTTCAATGGGATGGTGGCAACAAAGCAAACGGTTCTCACATCTGGGTTCAGCCAGAGGGAGCAGACAGAAACACTTGCCTTCCAGTCTTCCTTTGAACGAGATAAATTTGCATATTTTAGATCCTACCTGAGGATCTGGCTTCTAATCAGCCTGAATCTAGGTGTTGACTGAGATCCTCCCCTTTGGGACAGTGACAGGTGTGGCACACCCTCAACTATTGGGAATCACTAAAGTATAAAGAAGACTGCTTGGACAATCACAAAAGTTTGAGAGACAACCAAGAGCTAGGGCAGGGTTGAACAATAAGCTTCACCTCCTGCATGAGTATACTCCTTCAAAACTGGGAGAGAGGACTGTTTTATCTAATGCACAGAAACCAACATAATGAGTCAAGGAAAATGAAGAAATAGAGGAATATGTTCCAAATGAAAGAACAAGATAAAACCTCAGGAAAAGGCTTTAATGAAACAGAGATAAGTGATTTATATGAAAAAGAGTTCAAAATAATGGTCATAAAGATGTTCACAGAGCTTGGGAGAGGAATGGATGAACAAACAGAATTTAACAAAGATAGAGAAAATATAAGAAAGTACCAAATAGAAGTCACAGAGCTGAAGAATACAATAATTGAACTGAAAAATACAAGAAAGGTTCAACGTCAGATGAAGCAGAAGAAAGGATCAGTGAACTCAAATACAGGACAGTGGAACTAACTCACTTGAAGCATCAAAAGAAAAGAGAACGAATATAGCTTAACAGACTTATGGGATGCCATTAAGCAAACCAACAAACCAACATTTGCACTATAAGGGTCCAAGAAAGAAAGGAGATAGTGAAATGATCAGAAAATTTATTTGAAGAAATCATGACTGAAAACTTCTCTAACCTGGGGAAGGACACATACATACAGATTCAGGAATCCCAGAGGGATCCAAATAAGAGAAACCGAAAGAAACCCACACCGAGAGACAGATTATAATTAAAGTGTCAAATTCAAAGACAAGGAAAAAAATCTTCAAAGCAGCAAGAGAAAAATAAGTTGTCAAGAACAATGGAATCCCCATAAGATCATCAGATTTTTTAGCAGAAACTTTGCAGGCCAGAAGAAAGTGGCACCATATATCCAAAGTGCTGAAAAAAAACCCTGCCAATCAAAAATACTCTACTGGGCAAAATTTTCTTTCAGAATTGAAGGACAGATAAAGAGTTCTAGACAAATAAAAACTAAAGAAGCTTATTATCACCTGACAGGCCTTACAAGAAATGTTCAAAGGACTTCTTTAAGCTGAAACAAAATGGTAGTAATTAGTGAAGGGAAAACATGTGCAAGTATAAATTACACTGGTAAAGGTAAATGTATAGTAAAATTAGAATAATCTAATGTAAAGGTGATGGATTAATCACTTATAAAGGCATATGAAAGTCAAAGACAAATGTAAGTAAAAAATACTAAAACTATAATAATTTGTTAATTGATGAATGAGATGAAAAGATGTAAGTTGTGATATCAAAAATAAAATGTTGGGAGGGAATGTAAAAATTGTAGAGATTTAGATGCATCCACACTTAAGTTGTTACTAACTTAAGATAAATTGTTATAAGTGTGTATATCTATCTATCTATCTATCTCATGGTAATGGAAAGCAAAAACCTATAGTGGGTCCAAAAAAGAGAAAGAGAAAGGAATCAAAGACCTCTACAGAAAATCATCAAATCACCAAGAAAAAGAGCAAGAGAAGAAAAAAGGAATTACAAAACAGCCAGAAAACAATTAACAAAATGGCAATAAGTATGTATCTATCAATAATTATTTTAAATGTAAATAGACTAAATGCTCCAATCAGTGGACATAGGATGGCTGAATGGGTAAAAAAATATTCCATTTAGGGACGCCTGGGTGGCTCAGTCAGTTAAGTGCCTGCCTTCGATTCAGGTCATGATCCCAGGGTCCTGGGGTTGAGTCCCACATCGGGCTCCCCGCTCAGCGAGGAGCCTGCTTCTCCCTCTGCCTGCTGCCTCTCCCTATTTGTGCTCTGTCTCTCTCTCTCTCTGACAAATAAATAAATAAAATCTTTAAAAACAATTCCATTTATATATTGTCTGTAAGAGACTCACTTCAGAAGGAAGGACACACACAGACTGAAAGTAAAGTGATGGAACAAGCTATTCCATGCAGATGAAAATCAAAAGAAAGCTGAGGTAGCTATACTTACAACAGACAAAACAGACTTTAAGACAAAAATGGTAACAAGAGACAAAGAAGGTCATTACATAAGGATAAAGTGGTCAGTCCAAGAAAAGGACATAACACTTGTAAATATTTAGCCACGCAACATAGCAGCACATAAATACATAAAGCAAATATTAACAGACCTAAACAGGGAAATACACAGCAACACAATATACAAAAATCTGTTGCATTTCTATACACTAGTAATGAACTATCAGAAAGATAAACTAAGAAAACAATCCATTTCCAATTGTATCAAAAAGAATAAAATACTTAGGAATGAATTTAACCAAGGATGTAAAAGGCCTGTACACTGAAAACTATAAGACACTGATGAAAGAAATTGAAGAAGACACAAATAAGTTGAAAGATATTCCATGCTTATGGATTGGAAGAATTATTGTTAAAATGTCCATGTTACTCAAAGCAAGCTACAGATCCAATGCTATCCCCGTGAAAATTCCAATGGCATTTTTCACAGAAGTAGAACAAATAATCCTAAAATTTGTATGAAACCACAAAGACCCCAAATAGCCAAAGCCATCCTGAGGAAGAAGAACAAAGCTGGAGGCATCATGCTCCCTGATTTCAAACTCTTTACAAAGGCAGAGTAATCAAAACAGTATAATACTGGCATAAAAACAGATAAATAGATCAAAAGAACAGAACTGAAGGCCAGAAATATACCTATGCATGTATAGTCAATTGGTTTATGACAAAGGGGGCAAGAATACACAATGGGAAAAGACAGTCTCTTCAATAAAGTCTTGAGAAAATGACAGCTACATGCAGAAGAATGAAACTGAACCACTGTCTCATACCATACACAGAAACCAACTCGAAATGGATTAAAGACTTGAAAATAAGACCTGAAATCTTAAAACTATTAGAAGAAAACATAGGTGGGAAGCTCCCTGATATCAATCTTGGTGAGGACTTTTTAGATTTGACACCAAAAGCCTAGATAAAAATGAACAAGCGGGACTTTATAAAGCTAAGCAGCTCTGCACAGCAAAGGAAACCATCAGCAAAACAGAAAGGGAGCTACCAAATGGGAGAAAATACTTGCAAATCAGATATCTATTAAGAGGTTAATATCCAAAGTAGAGGAAGAACTCATACAGCTCAATGGTAAAATAAACAACTCCCCCCCCACAAAAAAATCCAATTAAATAACGGGCAGAGGACCTGAATAGACATTTTTCAAGTAAGACTTCCAAATGGCCAATAGGTGTATGAAAAGATGCTCAATCGCACTAATCATCAAGGAAATACAAATCAAAACTGCAATGAGCTATCACCTCACATATGTCAGAATGGCTAGTATTAAAAAGACAAGAAATAACAAGGGTTGGTGAGGATGTGGAGAAAAAAGGAACCCTCATGCTCTACTGGTGGGAATGTAATTGGTGTAGCCACTACGGGAAACAGTATGGAGATTCCCCAAAAAGACACTTCTTATGATCTTATGATCCAGCAATTCACTTCTGGGTATTTATCTGAAGAAGTGAAAACAGTAACTCAAAAAGATATCTGCACCCCCATTTTTGTTGCAGCATTATTTATAATAGCCAAGATATGGAAAACTAAGTGTCCATCATGGATGAATGGATAAAGAAAATTTGAGATTTGTATTTATACCTGTATATGGTGATATATATGTGGTGATATATATATATACATATATATACATATGTATTAGACATGAACTGTATATATAAAGGAATATTGATATATATGTAATGATGCAAGGTGTATACATCACCACATATGTATCAGTATTCCTTTATATATATATAATATATATACTCCACATATATATTAATATTCCATATAATATTCCATTATACACACACACATACATACACACTCAATGGAATATTATACAGCCATAAATAGAAGGAAATCCTGCCATTTTTAAAAAAAGATTTTATTTATTGATTTATTTGACAGAGAGAGAGAGATAGAGCACATAAGCAGACAGAGTGCCAGGCAGAGGGAGAGGGAGAAG